GAAATGTTTTTTTTTTTTTTAAAAAAAAAAGAAACCCCCAAAATCATTGACCAACAACACTCCGAGGCCTAGCCTTTGCTATATCTTTATTTGTTTTTCTTGCTAAAGGCATTGTTGATGCAGTATTAGGTGTTGTAGCTTTTGTAGCTTTGGCTGGTATTAAAGATACATTACTTTTGTTATCTTCGTTATCTATTGTTATTTTAATCATAGTATTTTTATCAGTTTCTTTTCTAGTTTTTGATAATGTAACGGGTACACTTAAATGTCCATTGACAATATAAGATGAAGTTGAGGGTGGTGTAAGAGTAGTTGGTGTAGAGGGTGCAGCAACGGATGAAACAGATGATGATTCACTTGATGTACTAGAAACACTATTGCTACGTTTTGATGTAGCGTTACCCTTACCGAGAAAGAGTGATGACCGACGAGAGGCAGTCAAATTCTTATCATCATGTTTATTCGTCTTTTGAGCAGCAGTTTCGGGATGAAGCGTTGAATTATCTGAACTCGACACGCGATGAGTTGGACTTAAAGGTGGAGTCAAACTTAAGTTATTTGTGCTTCGTTTTCGGGTTACCCTTCTCTCTGGTGATGTTGCACGTGATGTTGCACGTGATGATGTGGTAGACTTTGCAGGAGAAACGGAACGGCTTATAGCCTTGCTACTTCTTCGTGATCTGTTGGGTAAATTTTCAGAATTTGAAAGTGGTACCGAGTTGCTAGGAGAAAGTTTTTGACTATTACGCGTCCGGGAACCATTACTATATGTAGGTGATACTGGAGGTTGCATTGATTGACTGTTATGTGATAGACTTTGATCACCGTTTACAGATGCAGCCGGCGATACTGATCGGCTTTGTGGAACTTTTGGTGTTGATTTATTCTCCTTACTCTCCTTACGTTTTGTTGTTGTGTTCTTGTTATCTTTGGCCTGTTTTTGGATTGAACCCTTAGCAGCATCTTTTTCAAAACCGAAGAACATTTGATTTACGGTGCGTTCTGAAATTTCCGCTTGCTAAATGAGTTTAATACAAAAAGAATTTTAATATCATTGAAATCATTAAAAAAGTAGTAAAGTTATGTAGTAAGTTATGTAGCATTGAAACATACCAGCGTATCCAAGTATCGCACACTTTCATACATAAAAGGTTTCCTCTCGGCTTTTGAAATTATATTAGTAAACTAAATTTTGATGTAATGAGATGTAATGAGAAATACACATGATATTTATTTACCTTCTTCATAAGCGATGCATGCATTAATCAAATTATCTTCAATTTTCACCAAATTAGGCCAACACGATTTTCGCCATTTCTCTTCTTCCAATAATCGGAAAGAGCTTTGGAATAGACGACGTGGATCAGATGCCGTTTTCTCAAATTCAATCATTTTCTAAAGGAAATATATATATATATATATATATATATATTGAATTTAACTATTAACTGTACTAATAATAACTATAATGTTAACTGTTAAATGACTCATAATAAATTACCTCAATCAATTGACGTCTCTCCAACATCCACTTAAAGATCTTGGAACATTTAACATGAAGTTCTTCCAAACGCGTCGTTTCTTGTGCAAGAAGTTCATAAACTTCCTCAGCAGAGTCAACTATAAATAACATTGAATATAATATTATTAATATTAATCGGTACTTTTAACATTACTGGATATAACATCTTTGATATACTTACTTTTGTGTACGTTTTCAAAGAAATCATCTCGTTCATATTGCGGAACCAGACATTTATCCCAGAGGGTGCCCAATTGAACAGTGTACTAGTTTTAATTAACATACATGTTAATAATCACCAAATTTAAAAATTCACCTGAAAAAAAAAAATCTTACTTCTTCAATAGCTTTTTCAACAACAACATGCATGATGTCTCGTAAACGTTTAAGTTCCAAGGATAACTATTAAAGGAATAATTTTAAATGAATATTTAAATAAATATATACAATCACTACTGTCTAAATGTATATACTCTCTAAGTGCATAAAAAAATTTTGGCTTTAATTATTAACACCAAAATAGTTTTTATGACTTAAATGCATATACTGTATATATGCATAAAAAAGTCACTGACGGATGGCGTGCAATTAGACAATATCGACTGTAGTAAGACAAATTAAGTTATTTAGAATGCATCATAAACGTTTACCTTATTAAAATAGTCTTCATCAAGTGAACAAATTAAATTTATTCTTTCTTCTGAAGGAGTGTTTAATTCATCATAAAGATTTTTGACAGTTGTCAACATTGCTTCTACTTCATTCTTACGATTCATATAATCCTGTTCAAGCATCATTAATTTTTTCTTAAGGATGGCAATACTATCCGATGATAATTTTAATCCGGATGGAAGTGGTAAGGTATAATAGACATATTCACGTTTCGTATTATCTGTCTCTTGTTGATTTTTATCAGAATCATAATTACTATGCTGTTCATTTTCAAGTGCTTCATAAAGAGCTTTAGGGTCGGGTTTATCAGCAAATAACTTGAATAATGATTCATCTATGTCATCCTTAGGTGAATAATTAAGTACATTCCAATAATAATGCAGTTTGATCGCGGACTTTTCGAATGTGTCGCGTCGTTTCGTCTATTAACGATGTGAATCAATATAAATAAATAAATAAATATATAAATATATTGACTTAAATCCTTTTTATTAATCGTATTATTATAAGAAGACATACCACAGCTCGGGAATACTCGTCATATTTATGCCATATCTATTGAAAAAAAAACATTTGATGATAGATGATAATTTAGTTATATATAGATATATATGTCTACCTTTGGAATTATAAATCTACCTTTGGAAAAAGAATAATATACGAACCGGTAGAACTAAAGAAGAACTCAAATCTGTTTTAAAAACCTATATAAAATACAAATACACGCGTTATTTGTTTAACAATACACATTTAATAATAATAATAATAATAATAATAATAATAATAATAATAAATAAATTTAAAATACCTCTATTGATGGAACTTTATAATCTTCACTTAATTCTTGTACAAAAATCTCAAGACCACTTAACCATTTGTTGAGATTCTTTCGCGTTAGATCGATTTCCTAAAAAGGTAAGACAAAGATACGATACGATTAACCATCTAACGCGCTTTAATATAAAACCGTTAATATAAAATAATGAATAATTTAATTAACGGTTAAATAGTTACCTCTTGTAACGAGTCCCGAATAAGTTTTAGGCCATCGCGTGTTGCGTCACTTAAATCAAAGTTTAAAGCAGCAGCTTGTGGTATGACAATGTCGACTCTTCGACCAAATATTCGACAATGATCATCTATTTCCACCTTTAAAAAAAAAA